TAGTTACTAGTCACTAGTGACTAGACACTAGTGACTAGTCACTAGTGACTAGTCACTAGTGACTAGACACTAGTCACTAGTGACTAGTGACTACTCACTAGTGTCTAGTGTCTAGTGGGGGCTGAGGGCGACAGCCAGGATACTTCGTGGGTCTGTAAGTGACTACTCACTAGTCAGTAGTGACTAGTTACTAGTGACTAGTCACTAGTGACTAGTAACTAGTGACTAGTCACTAGTCACTAGTAACTAGTGACTAGTGGGGGCTGAGGGCCACAGCCAGGATACTTCGTGGGTCTGTAAGTGACTAGTAGAGTGACTAGTGACTAGTGACTAGTCACTAGTGACTAGTAACTAGTGACTAGTCACTAGTCACTAGTAACTAGTGACTAGTGACTAGTGGGGGCTGAGGGCCACAGCCAGGATACTTCGTGGGTCTGTAAGTGACTAGTAGAGTGACTAGTGACTAGTGACTAGTCACTAGTGACTAGTAACTAGTGACTAGACACTAGTCACTAGTGACTAGTGTCTAGTGTCTAGTGGGGGCTGAGGGCCACAGCCAGGATACTTCGTGGGTCTGTAAGTGACTAGCGACACTAGTGACTAGTGACTAGTAACTAGTCACTAGTTACTAGTCACTAGTGACTAGTAACTAGTCACTAGTGACTAGTGGGGGCTGAGGGCGACAGCCAGGATACTTCGTGGGTCTGTAAGTGACTAGTAGAGTGACTAGTGACTAGACACTAGTTACTAATCACTAGTGACTAGTGACTAGTAACTAGTGACTAGTCACTAGTGACTAGTCACTAGTCACTAGTGACTAGTGGGGGCTGAGGGCCACAGCCAGGATACTTCGTGGGTCTGTAAGTGACTAGCGACACTAGTGACTAGTCACTAGTGACTAGTCACTAGTGACTAGTGTCTAGTGGGGGCTGAGGGCCACAGCCAGGATACTTCGTGGGTCTGTAAGTGACTAGTAGAGTGACTAGTCACTAGTCACTAGTGACTAGTCACGTGACTAGTCACGTGACTAGTGACACACCTTGTCACATGACTAGCGACACGCCTAGTCACATGACTAGTCACGTGACTAGTGACACGCCTAGTCACATGACTAGTCACGTGACTAGTCACATGACTAGTGACACGACTAGTGACACGACTAGTCACGTGACTAGTGACACGTCTAGTGACACGTCTAGTGACATGACTAGCGACACGCCTAGTCACGTGACTAGGCGTGTCACTAGTCACGTGACTAGTGACACGCCTAGTGACACGCCTAGTCACGTGACTGGTCACGTGACTAGGCGTGTCACTAGTCACGTGACTAGTGACACGTCTACTGACACGTCTAGTGACATGACTGGCGACACGCCTAGTCACGTGACTAGGCGTGTCACTAGTCACGTGACTAGTGACACGCCTAGTGACACGCCTAGTCACGTGACTGGTCACGTGACTAGGCGTGTCACTAGTCACGTGACTAGTGACACGCCTAGTGACACGCCTAGTCACGTGACTGGTCACGTGACTAGTGACACGCCTAGTCACGTGCCTAGCGACACGCCTAGTCACGTGACTGGTCACGTGACTAGGCGTGTCACTAG